CATGGATAAAGCCAGAGACCGAATACTACAAATCAGGGATGAACTCAACAATGTTTATGCTAGATATTTACACCAGAACGATGAGAGGTTGGGCCAACAGGCCCGTGCTTTTGCTCCATATCTACCGAAAGTGTTGGCAAAGATTTATAAGGGTCTTGGAGATGATTGAGATTCGAGGATTCAGTTTCTTTTAGAGTCTATTTTCTTAGTAGTGATTATTTCATTTTATTATTATATTTAGTTTTTTTCTCTTTCTTTTCGTTTTGTTATTTTATTTCATTTAGAGTCTATCTAGGTCCTAGGTACTTCTGTTTTTTGTTTGTTTGTTTGTTTTATTCAAATAATTGTTTAAAATATTTGAAAATGAGTGAAAAGGATTTGCTTTCGGACACCTTATATGCATATGTCATGCAAAAATAAAAAAAATTAATATCTTTCTCGAACTATGCAAGATCTGATTTATGGGCCAAACATGATACGTAGGCAACCCAGGGGGTTCGATCCAAATTATTAATATTATTATTATTTTTATTATTACTTTTTTTCTTTTCTTTTTGTTTCTTCTTTCTCTTAAAAATGATAATCATAATAATAATAAATAAATAAATAAATAATAATAAAATATTAAAAAAACTAATGAAGAGAAGAATGCCTAGGTAAGCCGGGATGAAACATAAGGTCCTCCATATTAGAAGTATGTATGTGGATGCAATGTGCATAAATTTCTTAACACTAATCGGTTTGTTAATGCATTCAGAGAGAGAGAGAGAGAGAGAAAGAGAGAGAAATAAAGAGAGATACTAGCTTAAAGGTAGTTGGTTTGTGGTTAAACTGGCATCACATCCTTACAACACAAGATCAAAAGGGAAACAGAAAATGGCCACTAGAGACGGAAATGAATCGGACAATGATAAGGAGATCCAAAACCAGATGACTTCATAAGAAAAAGGGACAACAGAAGAGATAAGGGTGTTAAGACAACAAATGACAGAGATGTACGAGGCTTGAATGAGTGGACAACCTCCACCATCTTCAATCCCAGACTATTTTAATACAAATATGTCTCAGCCCCTATGCCAACACATTCAATGTCGCTGGAACTTATATGATGCGCCCTTCGAATACGCCTGTGATAAGTAATCCACTCTTTGTGTCAATTGCCCCAACTAACAGTATCCCGCAGCCAACGATGGTGCCCAAATCCAACAGCGATCCTCCGCCCAAAGTTCGGCGTGATCAAAGTTACACTCTTGAAGAAGCCATTAAAATTCCAAGCTCTCATCCCCACATTCATAAATATAGATCCCCTGTCGAAATTGAGAAGATGGTCAAAAATGAGGAACATGAAGAAATGACTAAGAAAATGAAGAGTTTGGAATAGAGTATAAGAGATATGCAAGGACTAGGAGGCCATAAAGGCATCTCGTTTAGTGACTTTTGTATGTTTCCTCATGTCCATTTTCCTGCTTGTTTTAAAACACCAATGTTTAAAAAATACGATGGTCACGGAGACCCCATAGCTCATCTAAAGAGATATTGCAACCAATTGAGGGGTGCAGAGGGCAAAGAAGAGTTACTTACGGCCTATTTTTGGGAAAGCTTGGTAGGGATTGCATCTGAATGGTTCGTAGATCAGGATATCACTAACTGGTACACATGGGATGATTTGGCTTGATGTTTTGTATAACAATTCAAATACAATATTGACATTGTTCCAGATCGCTCCTCGTTAGCCATCATGAGAAAAAAGACCACAGAAAATTTTCGTGAATATGCTATCAGATGGAGGGAACAAGATGCTAGGGTTAAACCACCAATGAAGGAGTCAGAGATGATTGACATTTTTCTCCAGGCGCAAGAACCTGATTACTTTCACTATCTACTTTATTCCATAGGGAATACATTCGCTTAAGTTATTAAGGTAGGGCAAATGGTGGAAAATTGCATCAAATCTGGAAAGATTGTAAGTGAAGCTACCTTAAAAGCCACAACACAAGTGCTTCAAAATTGTTCTGGAAATATTGGAGCGGAGAAGAGAAGGGAGGATGTGGCCACTATTATATCAGCGCCTAGGACTCATGTTCTAGATAATTCCCCAAAACACTATTTTCCTCCCAAAATCGACAATATTCTATCCCATACACTCCATATCATGTTTTTAATGCACAACCAATTGCACCCCCTTCTTTTCCACAATGGCATGCACCAACTCCACAAAATCATCCACCACCCCCACAAGTTCATCAAAATACTGCAAGAACTCCTTTCCGCCCTAGACAATAATACAAAAAGGGAAATGGCGTTAAAGATCAGTTCACTCCTATTGGGGATTCGTATGCTAGCTTGTTCCAAAAATTAAGGACGTTGAATGTTTTGAGTCCTACTGAGAGAAAGATGTCGAATCCTCCCCCGAGAAATTTGTATTATTCTAAACATTGCGCATATTATTCTAATGCCCCAGGGCAAAACGTAGAGAGATGTTGGTATTTGAAAAGGGACATTCAGGATTTGATCGATTCAAATCGAATTATAGTTGAAACTCTGAGTGGACCCAACATCAATCAAAATCTATTGTCGAGGCATACTGAAACAAACATGGTGGAAATGATGAAGGGTTATGAAGAGTTTGCATCTCTGTATAAGACAATCCTTAGGGTTGGAGCTGGCGTTGATTGTGCAAGGGGCCCATATTCCTCCCGTAATTATCAAGCTAGTATCCCAGCTCCCAATGACTAACCCCAAAGTTGTTCCGTGGAATTATGAGCCTACTGTCGTGACATACAAGCGAAAAGAAATTGATGAATAAATAGACGAAGTAGGATGAATAACCCATTCAGGATGATGTTATGTCCCGATGGAATTAAGGAAAACTAAAAATGACCAAATACAAATAAAGAGTCCGGTCACTGAAGGAGAGGCTGAGGAATTCCTAAGGAAGATGAAACTATCATACTGCTCCGTGGTTGAACAATTAAGAAAAACTCCAGCCCAAATCTCTTTGTTGTCTTTGCCAATACATTCTGATGAACATCGTTAGGCTATAATGAAAATTTTGAATGAAGCACATGTTCCTAGTAAAGTTATAGTGAGTCAGTTGGAGAAGATTGCTGGGAGAATATTTGAGGTAAACCGAATCACCTTTTCAGATGATGAACTACCCAAAGAAGGTATAGGACATAACCAAGGCCTACATATCATTGTAAAGTGTGAGCTTTCATACGTCACTCGAGTTCTAATTCATGGAGGATCTAGAGCAAATATTTGTCCTTTATCAACTCTACAGAAATATGAATGTTAGTGCTGAAAGGGTCAAACCCAACAATGTATGTGTTAGAGCTTTTGATGGGTCGAAAACAGATGTTATTGGTGATATAGAGCTCGTACTAACAATAGGTCCTGTGGATTTCGCTGTGAATTTTCAAGTATTGGATATTAACGCGTCCTACAATATATTATTGAGGAGGCCATGGGTGCATAGGGCTGGAGCGGTCCCCTCAACGTTGCATCAAATGATTAAGTTTGAATACGACCGACAAGAGGTAATTGTTCGTGGTGAGGGGGATTTGTCAATCTACAAAGACTCTTCCTTCCCTTTTATCATGGCGGATAATGAGAATGAGGCACTAGGTTATCAAGCTTCTGAGGTAGTGGTTATTGAGCATGTCCCCGAGGGGAGTGTAATTTCAAAACCAAATATGCCCATCGCGTCTGTAATGGTGGTGTATGAATTTCTGAAACATGGGTTTAATCTAGGTAAAGGCTTAGGTATCTGCTTGCACGGAAGAGCTTATCCTGTGAGGCTACGAAAGAGCATCGGTACTTTTGGCTTAGGTTACAAACCTAGAGTCGAGGAAAAAATGAAGGAAAAGAAGTATAAGAGAGATTTATGGTCACTTACCAAGCCTATACAACCAATCTACAAATATTTCATCAAAGCCCGCGCAACAGAATCTTATCAATCATCTTTTCCAGAGTTAGTGATGAAAGTTAGCGAAAAAATAATCTACTATGTTCAAGATTTATTTGTCGAGATTGATATGGTGGAACTCGGAGAAGGCACTAGCGACAGAGATGTGCAATTAATTGGTCCTAATGTCAATCTAATCAATTGGGATGCCACCCCTCTCCCAGTTAAAGAAGAGTCTTGGTAGTTTGTCCTGTTTTTTTCTTCTATCATCGGATTCATTCAAGGACTGTAATTCAGATTTTGTCTTGTCGTTTTATTTCAAACATTCAATTTCCCTTTTTAATAGGATGTTACTGCATCTTTATTTTAGTCTAATGTATTTGTTCGTTTTCTTTTATACAGTTCTTTCTATGCAGATTCTAGTGATATGACATGCATGCAGAATTTTTCACCACATCTTAATATCCAATCTAATCTTCGACCTAATATTGAAATAATAAGTCAAGAAATCAAACATGATGAAGACAGAGTATTTGAAGAAGTAAGGAGGGATTTCAATCATTTTTAAAATAAGTCAAATCCAAACATGAGGGAAACTGAGACGATAAATTTGGGGGATCAGGAAATTATTAAGGAGACTAAGATATGTGTGCATGTTCGACACCAAAAGGACGATATAATCCAGGCCCTGTTTGATTACAAAAGATGTTTTTGCGTCATCTTATGAAGACATGCCTTGATTAAGAACTGACATGGTTGTTCACAAGTTGACAATTGATCCTAATTTTCCTCTGATAAAGCAGAAGTTGAGAAAACTCAAAACCAACATGAGTGTAATAATTAAATAGCATATCACAAAACAACTTGAGGCCAAAGTCATTCAAGTCTCTCAATATCCTTCTTTGTTAGCCAATATCGTACACGTCCCTATGAAAGACGGCAAAGTTCGAATGTGTCTTGATTATCGTGATTTGAATAAGGCAAGTCCAAAATATGATTTTCCTTTGCCTACATCCATATTTTATTGGATAATTGTGCTAAACATGAGGTTGCATCTTTTGTGGATTGTTATGCGGGCTACCATCAGATTATTATGGATGATGAAGATGCAGAAAAAACATCCTTTATCACTCCATGGGGTACATATTATTATCGTGTTATGCCTTTTGGATTAAAAAATGCAGGGGCAACTTATATGAGAGCAATGACAACCATGTTTCACGATATAATGCATAGGTAAATCAAAGTTTATGCGGATGATGTTATCATTAAATCTAAAAACTGTTAGATCATGTGAAACACTTAAAGAGAGTCTTCGAAAGGCTCCGCAGGTATAATCTCAAGCTTAATCATGCAAAATGTGTATTTGGAGCACCATCGGGGAAGCTTTTGAGGTATATAGTTAGTCGAAGAGGTATCGAGTTGGATCCTTCAAAAATAAGAGTAATTCAAGAATTGCCACCTCCAAAGAACAAAACTGAGGTTATGAGCCTTCTAGGAAGGTTGAACTATATCAGCAGATTCATTGCTCAACTCACAACAACTTGTGATCCTATCTTAAGTTGTTGAAAAATAATGCTACAGTTGAGTGGACCGAAGAATGTCGAGAAGCTTTTGAAAGAATTAAGAACTACCTATCGAATCCCCCTGTGTTAGTTCCTCCTGAGCCGGTAAGACCTCTGATATTGTATATGTCAGTCTTGGATAATTCTTTTGGTTGTGTTCTGGGTCAGCATGATGACAGTGGGAAGAAAGAGCGGGCCATTTATTACCTCAGCAGGAAGTTTACCGTTTATGAAGCGAAATACACCCTTCTTGAAATAACGTGTTATGCCCTAACATGGGTAGCACAGAAGTTGAAACAGTATCTTTCATCTTACACTACTTATATCATCTCTCGTATGGATCTGTTGAAATATATTTTTCAAAAGCCCATCCCAACAGGCAGGCTTGCGAAATGGAAAATATTGCTCACGGAGTTCGACATTATGTATATAACGTGGACCGCAATGAAAGCTCAAGCATTGGCAGATCATTTGGCAGAGAACCCTATTGATGAAGAATATGAACCACTTAAAACCTATTTTCCAGATGAAGAGATATCTTGTATCGATGAAGTTATTCACGATAACGATCAAGGTTGGAAGTTATTCTTTGTTGGTGCCTCTAACAGGAAAGGAGTTGGAATAAGAGTTGTTCTTATGTCTGAATCCGGGGAATATTACCATATATCAGCCCATCTTAGATTCTATTGTACTAATAATATGTCTGAGTATGAAAAGTGCATTTTGGGTCTGAGGTTAGCTGTCGACATGGGCATCCAAGAATTGTTATTGCTAGGAGAATCAAACTTACTAGTTCATCAAATTCAAGGAGAATGGGAAACTCGAGACCCTAAGCTCATACCATATCAACATTGTTTACAAGGTCTTTGTCAACGATTCGTGTCGATAAAGTTTAGACATATTCCCAGAATGCACAATGATATTGTAGATGCATTGGCCACTTTATCTTCGATGCGCCAACACCCTGATGACGCCCATATCGACCCTTTATACATAAAAATTCATGATCAACATGCTTATTGCAACATGATTAAGGAGGAATTTGATGGTAAGCCTTGGTTTCATGATATCAAAATATATCTTCAGTCTAGAGAATGTCCATCAGAAGTGACTAGTAATCAAAAAAAGACTATTCGACGACTAGCCAGGGGTTTTTTCTTATGCGAAGGCATACTGTACAAGAAGACACCCGATTTAGGTCTTCTAAAGTGTGTAAATGCTCAAGAGGATTCCACAATCATGATTGAAGTACACTCAGGAGTTTGTGGACCTCATATGAATGGATATGTTCTAGCCAAGAAGATACTTTGAGCAGGATATTATTGGCTCACCATGGAGCGGGATTCCATACGATTTGTTCGTAAATGTCATGAATGTCAAATACATGGTGATTTGATACATTCTCCCACTTCTGAGTTGCATGCAATGTCTGCTCCATGGCCTTTTGTGGAATGGGGCATGGATGTGATTGGACCGATAGAACCAAAAGCATCGAATGGTCACAAGTTCATCTTGATGGCTATTGATTATTTTAGAAAGTGAGTGGAAGCAATAACTTTCAAGTCAGTGACGAAGAAGGTCATGGTGGATTTCATCCATTTCAACATCATCTGTCGATTTGGTATTCCAAAGGTGATTATAACTGATAACGCCGCAAATCTCAACAGCCACTTAATGTAAGAGGTATGCTACCAATTTAAGATTGAGCATCGAAATTCGACTCCGTATCGCCCAAAGGCAAACGGGGCTGTAGAAGCTGCTACCAAAAATACAAAAAAGATACTTCGTAAGATGGTGCAAATTTCTCGACAATGCCATGAAAAGTTGCATTTTGCTTTGTTGGGTTATTGCTCTACAGTCCGTACGTTAGTGGGCGCTACCCCATATTCACTGGTATATGGGACTGAGGCAGTTATACCTGCAAAGATTGAAATCCCATCTTTACGAATTGTTGTGGAGGCTGAAATTGATGATGATGAGTGAATCAAAATTTGGTTACAGAAATTAAGTTTGATTGATGAGAAGCATCTGACATCATTATGTCATGGACAATTATATCAGAAAAGAATGGCACGGGCATATAATGAAAAGGTGCGTCCCAGACATTTTAAAGAGGGTCAATTAGTGTTGAAACGCATTTTGCCACATCATGCCGAAACCAAAGGCAAATTTTCTCCAAATTGGAGAGGACCATTCGTTGTTAAAAGGGTATTACCCAATGGTGCTCTTTACTTAGCAGATATAGAAGGCAAAGTGACAGAAACGGTCGTCAATGCTGATGCTGTGAAAAGATATTACATATGATTGAGTTTCGACATTAGAAACCCTTATGTTTGGGCTCGACATTTCAAGGGTTGATTCAATGATATATCTTGGTTATGCTGTTTCCTCGACTTTAAAAAAATCTATTAAAAAACAAAACAAAACAAAACAAAACAAATTGTCTGCACTACGTTTGACCTGATTAATGTTTTGACAAAATACGTAGGCAGCCCTAATATTGGGTTCGGTTCAACCAAATACAAATCCAAAAATTCATATTGTAGTATATTGGGGCAAAATTCGTTTGTTTATTCATTCGGTCTCTCATCTCAAAGCAAAAAATCAACCCCATCATCTAAAGTCAAAAAAAAAGTAAGTCTTTTCATCAACCCTTGATATGTCGAGAGTAAGTCGGTTAAGGGTAGGTAAAAATCCTGAATGGGCACCATAAGACAAATGCGAGTAAAAATATATAAAAATGAGAGATTCTTATTGGTGAAATCCCTAAGTGGGCACCGTAAGGCAAAAAGGAGATGAAAATCAAAGAGTCTTATTGGTGAAAATTATGACATGCACCATCAGGCAGACGTGAGCTGGAGCAATTAACATGATAGAATTTTAGCGGCAAAGACCATCATGAATATCACAGTCTATAAGGGTTCAAATTATTTAAGGCTTCATTCACATCAAGATTGAATAATCAATAATGGTTGATGAATACATTGGATAGCGAAGTCTGGAAATCAATTCAAATTGAATGGCATGATCAGTAGACTCGGTTCCCACACTCAGATAAGTTTTTCTTTCTTCTTCTTACAAAAAAAAGGTCTTTATCGAATCTTTTCTTTTATTCTCATATAGTTCATAATTTTCTTATTATTTTTTCATCACTTTTTGGTATGTATTTGAGTCGAGTCTTTGTCAAAAAAATTAGGAAGGAATTTCAAGACTCACTACCAAGTCTCTAAACAGTACTAGGCAAAGCATCAGGCTACTGAGTTAATCTATCTTCAAGTATTTAATTCGAAGATTCTCTGATCCTATGAAGTCTAACCAATGAGTGTTGTGAGATAAAGACATTGGTTTTAGGTCCCAAAATAAGAAAATTTGGATGAAAGTACTATCAATCAATAAGAAGTATTGACCGTTGGAAACAACCAAAGCGTCATAAGTGTTTGAGCCGCCCTTGTCGAAAGATAGAACCACAAACCAACCACCACCTTTTCATACTCACAAATTTTCTTTGTTGAAGCAGGGACACAACTTGTTTCAAGATTGAGGATTCGAGTAACCTAAATGTTCAACCTAGTCTGCAGCGAGCGAAATGAAAACCCTACAATAAAGACTTGTGGAATAATATATGAATGTTGGCTAATATATATCAAAATCGCAATTATTTGAATGTTGGAATATTTATTATTATTATTATTATTTATTATTATTATTATTATTATTATTATTATTATTATTATTATTATTATTCTCCTTGAAAGAACTTCCAAATAATGAAGATAGCATTCACAATGTTTGTTGGTATTATTAGTTTGTTGAAAATTTTATAAGCAGGACCCTCCTGGATAATGGGATTAGTAGGACCCTCCTAGATAATGGGATTAGCAGGACCCTCCTGGAAAATGGGACTAGTGGGACCCTCCTGGATAATGGGACTAGCAGGACCCTCCTGGATGATAGGATTAGAAGGACCCTCCTGGATAATAGGACTACTAGGACCCTCCTTGATAATCGAATTAGCAGGACCCTCCTGGATAATGGGATTAGCAGGACCCTCCTGGATAATGGGACTAGCAGGACCCTCCTGGATAATGGGATTAGCAGGACCCTCCTTGATAATGGGACTAGCAGGACCCTCCTGGATAATGGGATTAGTAGGACCCTCCTGGATAATGGGACTAGCAGGACCCTCCTGAATAATGGGACTAGCAGGACCCTCCTGGATAATGGGACTATCAGGACGCTCCTAGATAATGGGATTAGCAGGACCCTCCTGGATAATGGGACTAGTAGGACCCTCCTGGATAATGGGATTAGCAGGACCCTTCTGGATAATGGTACTAGCAGGACCCTCCTGGTTAATGGGACTAGCAGAACCCTCCTGAATAATGGGACTAGCAGGACCCTCCTGAATAATGGGATTATATTACTTTCTCATAAGATTAACACTTCATAGTCTAGATTTTTAGTTTTATTTTCTCCTGAAATAAACACTTCCAAGCCGAAGATTATGTTTTGTATTTATATTTGCTAATAACTCACAAAAAAATTTCCCTGTGAAAACTGAGGCAAAATTTTTATTTATTTATTTTTTGTTTGTTTGTGGTGGTTCTCAGGTTTTCTCAAGCGGGACCTGGATTTGAAATTCAAGAACAAAGTTTCAAATTTTTTAGAATAATCAATTCCATGATGGTTAGAATTAGCTTCTTCAATGCATGTAGCAGCCTGACTTCCACACATCTTTTATTAGTCAACTTTTTATCAAGAAAACACACATTTATTTAAGAGCATTTTTCAAGTTGTCATTTTGAAGAATGTCAAAAGTTCCATCTAAGTGGCAAGTTCAGCCTCCATTCCAATTCTAAGTTAAGATATTCAGTAAAAAATCAAGGTGATATCCTAAAGTCAAAATTCAAGTGAAGATTCAAGAAAAGATGCGTGGATAGAAGTTTGTACATTTGTTTTTATTTTGACTAATAGTTCTCAATTTTTATGTAATGATAAGAGCCGTGATCTGGAGCCTCGATGGAACCTCACTTAACTTCCAACTCATCACTTTATCTCCTCTAACTACAAGTGGCCTGATTCCTTTATCACCCGGGATATGTAGGATGTCCAAACAAGGATTGGGTCGCACAAATTTTGGTCTTTCAAATAAGAGTTCGGTCAAAACTTGTCACTTTTCTACTTCTTTGTCTGAAAAACTCCTCGTGTTTCCAGTCAAATAGGGGAAAATTGTAGACACGTAATTTTTGACCGAATTTAAGTTTAACACCAATATTTAGAGCATAAATAATTTTATCAATCTAAATTAAATATATTTTGACTTTTTATTATTTTCATTAAGTTTATTTAAAAGATATAAAAATAAACAACATCAATATAATTTTTATTAGAAAAGTTTATTTTGATTGTTAAAAAAATTAATATATATATATATATATATATATATATATATATATATATATATATATATATATATATATATATA